CCCAAGATGGCGCTGGCAGACCCAGAGGCCATGGATGTGGAGATGCTGCGGGACTGGTGCAGGTGGATGGGCATCAGCGCCCGCAGGGGTCTGCTCATCCTGGGCATCCCGGAGGACTGTGACGATGACCAGTTACAGGAGTGCCTGGAGGGCTCCCTGTTGGAAATGGGCCAGTTTGAGGTGCTGGGCAGAGTGTTTCGAGAGGAGGACGATGCCAATGCGGCCCTCGTCGAGCTGGACCGGGAAGTCAACTATGCTTTGGTTCCCAGGGAGATCCCAGGCATCGGGCGTCCCTGGAGCGTGGTCTTTGTGCCCCGATGCTCAGGCGAGGACTTTCTGGGTCGCCTGTTGCACACCATGGAACAGCGGGGGCAGACTGTAGAGAGCTTGGCCGAGGCCCTGGGGCTGGGGCTGAACAAGGTGTGCTGGCTGAGGTCTTTCAGTCGGGCCATCCAACCCTGGGTGGAGACAGTACGGTACCAGCCCCTGGGGGTGTTCTCTGGGAGGGACCCGCCAGCCCCGGGGGAGTTGTCCTTCGAGCCCTGGCTGGACCGCGCCACTGAAATGCTACTGGTGTGGGAAGGGGTCCCAGAAAGGGAGAAGAGTAGGAGGCTGACGGAGGGCCTCCGAGGGGCAGCCCTGCAGGTGGCATACGATGTCCTGGCAGGTCACCCTGTCAGGACAGTCCAGCAATGCCTGGACGCCCTGTTCCACGTGTTTGGAGACCGTGAGTCTAAGGCCATCCTGAGGCTCAAGTATGTGACCGCTGAGCAACAGCCAGGAGAGACTCTCTCTGCTTTCGTGTTTAGGCTGGAAGGCCTGCTGCAGAAAGCTGTTCGGGCGAAGGCCTTGGACAAGCTCTCAGTCGATCAAGTGCGTGCGAGGCAGGTGCTCACTGGGGCCCACACTCTTGAGCAGCTGTCAATGGCCCTGAGGCAGCTGGACTCTATGGGGCAGTACCCAACTTTCCTGGAGATGGTGGTGATGGCTCAGGAGACTGAGAGATGGGAGGCTAAAATAGCCAGGAGCATGAGAGCCCAGCAGGTACAAGGGGCTGCTGCCACGGCCACTGCCCAGGCAGATGCCAGAGCCAAAGCTCAGGCCGAGGGTGACAAGGTGGAGGAGAAGCAGCGGGAGCAGGAGAATAGTGACAACCATGCCCGGGTCCCTGCGGGCCTGGGTCAGACAGGGCTCTCAGAGGCCTCCCAGAGAAAGGGAGAGAGAGAAGAAAATAGACCAGGGATGGAAGGCAGTCCCCTGCCTGACCACATGGACAGCGCTTCCTTGGCAGGTCCACGAGATCCAGACACTGTGCTAGGGCACCTGGTCCAGGCGCTAGACCAGGAGGCCGAGGAGCACTATCAGGAGGGGCTCAAGCCCATCCTGGAGGAGTCGGAAAGTGAGGACGGGGCTGGGGAGCTGAGCCCCTCTATGCCCTCCCCTGGCAAATAGGCTCATGAGGCCAGGGGCAACCTCCTCACCCCACATGGGGAGCAGGGCCCAGGGAAAGGCCCACCCAGCCCACTCCAAATCCCTTACTGCCCCACCACCCTACGGGGCCCTGACCACCTCCATCAGCCCTCCAAGTCACCAAGATGACCATGTTTGACACCCAATGGGATGGAGAGAGGTGCCCACACAAGGGAGCGCCACGCCTGGCCTCAGCCCCTGCCCAGCCTCTGCCAACTTGGGCAGCTGGTCTGGGAGCACCGCTGAGCAGCCCATCTCAACCTAGGAGAGGGGCACCTGAAGACATCTGCCACCCGCGTGGAACTGGGAGACTTTAGAGCCCATCTCGGGTGCCACTCTTGGGGACCCCCATCCTCCATCCCCTGGGGAGCCCCAACTCATTTCTCTATAGCCCCATAGTGACCCACGTGTCAAGTAATCATCCTCCCACCACCTCACACACAGACCATGAGTCTGTGCAGTACCACCTGGTGTTTGTGTACCCAGGTGGGTGTCCTGGCCTCCCCCACGACCCTGCCCAGGGCAGCCACCTCTCAGCCCCGGCACGTGCTGTGAGCCCCACTGCCAGCCAAGGCTCTGCCAGCTCTCGTCCAGTGTCGTGAGCTCAGCCTCTGCTTTCTTGGTGTAGATTTAGGCCAACTGCTGCTTGTGCTTGTGATGTGTGTGTTCTTCTCTGAGCAGTTTTTCCCTCCCTACCGCCAACATCACCCACCTCGGAGACCCCGAGCCCGAGCCCAGAAGAACGGATGAGAAAAGCGGACCTGGGCGCGTCTGGCGCTCACCCGGTGACCTGTGGCAGGAAAAAATGGACCAGGGACAGAAGGCGGCTCCTGGAGGCTCCACGGGGACTGTGCTCTGATATGCCACCCTGTTGTTCCCTGTGACTCAGTTTCCTCAGCATGCTCGAGTGTCCCCTGCTGTGTTTTCCAGTATCTTGTGTCTGTTCAGTGCAGGCCACAGGGCAGGGCCAGGTCCCAACATGTCCAGAGCAGTGGGGGGTGTGGGGGTGTGGGGAGGAGCCCTGCAGTGAGTGGACATCACCTGTGTCCATGGTCCTACAAAGTCCAACCAAATGGCCCTCAGGGAGGGGGACTATGGAAGGAGGGCCACAGTGTGGGGGACATTTAAGGCTCCTCATTAGGGACCCCAGGAGCAGGGGGTGTGACCTATGGGCTCTAGTGGCCGTTGAAGTTCCTCTCTGTGTTGTAATTCCCCTTCTTCAATGGATTCAATAAATATTTCTCTTCAATAAACATCATTGAATGTTTCAGCTGAGTTTCGTCTCTTCTGTGAGCAATTGAGGGAAGGGTTTGCTGGGGGTGAGGCTGGAGGGGCAATAGTGATCTGGTACTCAGGATCATTTGGGGCTGTTTCGGACAGGGTCCAAGTAGGTCTGTCAGTTACCCTGGGGCTGGAAGCACTGATAGCAGGAATTTGCAGGAATGGGTAGTGGCTATTTAGGTCCCTAGAAGGCCCAGGAATAAGTGGCTTAGCGATTGGAGAGGGGAGAAACAGCAGGTAGGACTAGAAATCCTATGATCCTTGACAGGGGTGTGGGTGCCCAGCATGTCATTAGGTTAGGGAGATCACATGTGCAGTCCAGAGACCAGAGGGCCATAGAAGGGCCCTGAAGTGAGGTCAGATGTCCTTGCAAGTAGCTCTGTGCAGGACTGTGGAGTGTGGTGAGATGACTGCCTAGACATCCCTGATCAGCCTACCCCTGTCAGCTGACAAGTAGCCAGTCTTGGTGTTCACAATGAAGGATGTCTGGGGACAGAATTGTGTGATGGGTGAAGAATGGAGAGTGGGCCAGGTGGGGTTTGACAGTGCTTATGCAATGCCAGTGGGGAGGAAAGGCTGGGACAGCCAGCCCAGGCATTTCATGGAGGGGTTACTTCTACCCTACCAAACTTGCCACAGTGTTGCATACCCTGAGAAATCAAAACCAAACTACAGTAGTGTCTAGTGAAGGCCGAGTTCAGAAAGGTTTAGGTCACACGCAGAGAAGAAAGGAACCCTAGAGCAGCAGCAATCTTTGCAACCATAGTAGCAGCCAGCACAGTAAAACCCACAAAGGGGAGCAGCCAAGCTATTTAGGAACTAGGAGGCTGTAGACATGGCCATTAGGATGTCCTGAAGAAGTCTCTTACGGGTGCTGGGCATAATACCTTTTTTGGCTCCCCAAACTGCTCAAAGCAGACCCTTCCCCCAATTGCCCACAGAAGAGATGAAACTCAGCTGAAACATTCAATGATGTTTATTGAAGAGAAATATTTATTGAATCCATTGAAGAAGGGGAATTACAACACAGAGAGGAACTTCAACGGCCACTAGAGCCCATAGGTCACACCCCCTGCTCCTGGGGTCCCTAATGAGGAGCCTTAAATGTCCCCCACACTGTGGCCCTCCTTCCATAGTCCCCCTCCCTGAGGGCCATTTGGTTGGACTTTGTAGGACCATGGACACAGGTGATGTCCACTCACTGCAGGGCTCCTCCCCACACCCCCACACCCCCCACTGCTCTGGACAACATGTTGGGACCTGGCCCTGCCCTGTGGCCTGCACTGAACAGACACAAGATACTGGAAAACACAGCAGGGGACACTCGAGCATGCTGAGGAAACTGAGTCACAGGGAACAACAGGGTGGCATATCAGAGCACAGTCCCCGTGGAGCCTCCAGGAGCCGCCTTCTGTCCCTGGTCCATTTTTTCCTGCCACAGGTCACCGGGTGAGCGCCAGACGCGCCCAGGTCCGCTTTTCTCATCCGTTCTTCTGGGCTCGGGCTCGGGGTCTCCGAGGTGGGTGATGTTGGCGGTGGGGAGGGAAAAACTGCTCAGAGAAGAACACACACATCACAAGCACAAGCAGCAGTTGGCCTAAATCTACACCGAGAAAGCAGAGGCTGAGCTCACGACACTGGACGAGAGCTGGCAGAGCCTTGGCTGGCAGTGGGGCTCACAGCACGTGCCGGGGCTGAGAGGTGGCTGCCCTGGGCAGGGTCGTGGGGGAGGCCAGGACACCCACCTGGGTACACAAACACCAGGTGGTACTGCACAGACTCATGGTCTGTGTGTGAGGTGGTGGGAGGATGATTACTTGACACATGGGTCACTATGGGGCTATAGAGAAATGAGTTGGGGCTCCCCAGGGGATGGAGGATGGGGGTCCCCAAGAGTGGCACCCGAGATGGGCTCTAAAGTCTCCCAGTTCCACGCGGGTGGCAGATGTCTTCAGGTGCCCCTCTCCTAGGTTGAGATGGGCTGTTCAGCGGTGCTCCCAGACCAGCTGCCCAAGTTGGCAGAGGCTGGGCAGGGGCTGAGGCCAGGCGTGGCGCTCCCTTGTGTGGGCACCTCTCTCCATCCCATTGGGTGTCAAACATGGTCATCTTGGTGACTTGGAGGGCTGATGGAGGTGGTCTGGGCCCCGTAGGGTGGTGGGGCAGTAAGGGATTTGGAGTGGGCTGGGTGGGCCTTTCTCTGGGCCCTGCTCCCCATGTGGGGTGAGGAGGTTGCCCCTGGCCTCATGAGCCTATTTGCCAGGGGAGGGCATAGAGGGGCTCAGCTCCCCAGCCCCGTCCTCACTTTCCGACTCCTCCAGGATGGGCTTGAGCCCCTCCTGATAGTGCTCCTCGGCCTCCTGGTCTAGCGCCTGGACCAGGTGCCCTAGCACAGTGTCTGGATCTCGTGGACCTGCCAAGGAAGCGCTGCCCATGTGGTCAGGCAGGGGACTGCCTTCCATCCCTGGTCTATTTTCTTCTCTCTCTCCCTTTCTCTGGGAGGCCTCTGAGAGCCCTGTCTGACCCAGGCCCGCAGGGACCCGGGCATGGTTGTCACTATTCTCCTGCTCCCGCTGCTTCTCCTCCACCTTGTCACCCTCGGCCTGAGCTTTGGCTGTGGCATCTGCCTGGGCAGTGGCCGTGGCAGCAGCCCCTTGTGCCTGCTGTTCTCTCAGCATCTTCTTGGCTGCTATACCCTTCATTCGCTCAGACTCCTGAGCCATCGCCACAATGTCCTCGAAACCTGGGTACCTCCCCTTTGAGACCTTCTCAGCCAGGATCTTTTCCATTTTCCGAATAAGGTGGGCCCCGTTGAGCACCTGCCTTGAGCGCAAGTGCTCAATTGAGAGCTCATCCAGGGCCTTTGCCCGAAGGGCTTTCTGCAGCAGGCCTTCCAGCCGCACCACGAAAGCGGTGAGAGTCTCTCCTGGCTGTTGCTCAGCGGTCACACACTTGAGCCGCAGGCTGGCCTCGCACTCGCGGACTCCAAACACGTGGAACAGGGCGTCCAGGCATTGATGGACTGTCCTGACACGGTGACTTGCCAGGACATCGTATGCCACCTGCAGGGCTGCCCCTCGGAGGCCCTCCGTCAGCCTCCTACTCTTCTCCCTTTCTGAGACCCCTTCCCACACCAGCATCATTTCAGTGGCGTGGTCCAGCCAGGGCTCGAAGGACAACTCCCCCGGGGCTGGCGGGTCACTCCCAGAGAACACCCGCAGGGGCTGATAATGCACTGTCTCCACCCAGGGTTGGATGACCCGACTGAAAGACCTCAGCCAGCACACCCTGCGCAGCCCCAGCCCCAGGGTCCCAGCTATGCTCTCTACAGTCTGCCCCTGCTGCTCTAGGAAGTTGAATAGGCGACCCAGAAAGTCCTCGCCTGAGCATCGGGGCACAAAGACCACGCTCCAGGGACGCCCGATGCCTGGGATCTCCCTGGGAACCAAAGCATAGTTGACTTCCTGCTTCAGATTCACCAGGGCTGCAATGGCATCATCCTCCTCTCGAAACACTCTGCCCAGCACCTCAAACTTGCCCATTTGCGACAGGGAGCCCTCCAAACACTGTTGCAACTGGTCATCGGTACAGTCCTCCGGGATGCCCAGGATGAGCAGACTCCTGCGGAAGCTGACGTTCATCCACCTGCACCAGTCCCGCAGCATCTCCACATCCATGACCTCTGGGTCTGCCAGCGCCATCTTGGGGGCTGCTCCTGAAGGATGGGGGAGGGGAACCGGTTCTGGGTGCAGACCAGGGCAGCACTGGGTGGGAAAGGAATTGGGGGAGGGGGAAGCCCAGGACTCAGATGGAGCTTCCCAGGTGTGCACTGCCTGTGAATAGGAAGGGGGGGGGGAGAAAGAGAGGGAGGTAGGAAGGGAGAGAGGGTGCGGGGGGGGGGGAAGAGAGAGAGAGAGAGGTTAATGCAGACCCCCTCCTCCCACCCTGGGCTGTCTTTCTTCCCCTGGCAGCGCATCTGCAGCCCAGCCTGGACTGCCATTCTCTTCCCACCCACACTGCTCCCAGCCCTGGCGGGCAGCTGCAGTCCTGCTGGCGTGGGAGGAGGGTGGCTGGGTCTCCAGGGGCCAAGCTCACCCTCCCTGAGTCTCCTACCTTGTGCTGGGGGTGGTCCTTTCTGATCCAGGTCCCAGCAGAAGGGATGCCCCTCTTTCCCAGGCTCTCTGGCTGCCTCTCCCTCTTCCTTTCCCTGTCCGTTTCAGGGCTGCGTGTGGGCCTGCGCGTCAGCAGCCTGTCAGCTTGCCAGGGCTCTCTGCAGTGCGGACCAGGAGCAGGGGCACAGTGGAGGAGGAACTGGGACCCTCTGTGTTGCCTGGGAGACAGCAGGACCATTGGCTCGCGCGGGTCACGTGACCGGGCTGTTTTCAGAGCTGCTGGAGCCCTGGAACCTCTGGTGAAGTCACTGGCTCCTCCCCAAGTCCAGGAGGGGGTGTGGGCACAAATGGGGTGGGTTAGGGTCAGAGCCTTGGTGTGCCCCTCTGGGATACCATCCTGGCTCCCACCCCCCACCCCCAGAAATGACTCTTGGGGGCTCCAGACTTGGGAGATGCCACACCCTGGGATGCCAGCCCTGGAATGGTTGGAGGGGCCCATGGTGCGCTGGCTAGGGCTGCCTTCAGGCCAGGGGTGGGGAGGCTTCTTCACCTGCTTTCTCTCCCCTTTCTCCCGCCTCTCCTCCCAGGGCTGTTCCTGTCCCAAGGCTGGGCAAGAAGCACGTGGTCTAGAGGGGCACCTTCTGTGGACTAGAGGTTGCATGCACATATGTGTGCTCATGCACACTGAGCAAGATGCTGTCCACACCTCTCTTGGGGGCTGAGTGCTGCAGGTGTCTGCCACCTAAGGTGCAGGGTGGGTCAACGTGATTTGCTGCACTTGTGACAGGGGCCAGCCCTGTGGAAGATGCCATGGCCTCTTCCATTTAGCTAGCTTCAATTCTTAAATTTAAAAATGGGCTTGTGCTATTTAAAGTTCTCCCCTTTGGCAGTTCCTTCCCCCTTATAGTCTTGCTTCTGTGGAACAACAGAACTGAGATCTCTACCTGAGGGTCTATATAGGAGAGTTTGTGTGTACCCAATGTGTCTCCTCTCCCCTGTGCCCTGGCCAGCTTCGTGGGCTCTGGGACAGTGCTCTCTGGGGCCCTGAGGGCAGCATGAGTGTTGTGTCTCTCCAGAGATCTCTGTTTGTCTGACCTGGAATCCTTCCCCTTTTCTTTGCCACCCTGGGGTAGATACTGCACAAACAGTATCTGCCTCAGCTCAAAACAGAGCTCCAATCCCAAAGGTCTCATCATCTTGCACCTGTCCCATTATGTAATCTGGGACCCTGTGAATAGCCTCTCTATCTGTGAGATGGTAGACAGGTTTCCTAGGGGTCACACCTCCAGGTATTTGCCTACCCCACCACCACCATTTCTTTTCTTTTGTTGCTTGGTATCTGGTCAGAATCCTTCTCTGTGACTTGCTTTTCCCACTCAAACTTGACAGCTCAAAATTTCCCCAAGTGTCCAGCTTGCTCATGCTCCTTGTCAAATCACAACCCTTGTTTATTTCTATGACCCTATGGATGGGCATTCAGGTTGTTCCCAGTCTTCAGCCATTACAGACACTGTTGTCAGCAGCACCCTGCACATACCTGTCTGAGCCACTGTCAGGAATAAGGCTTTGGCATGTATACCAAAAGTGGTTTTGTTGGGACTACGGCTGAGCCTGTTGCCAACATGATTAGACATTGCTACTTCATTATCTTCCATATGTGGCTTCACTCACTTCGCCCAGCCCAGCAGCTCAGTAGTAGTCCAGTGTGCCTCACAGCCCGAGCAGCCTTTGGTCCTGTCCAGATTTGACCATTTGAACATCCCATGGGGATAGGCACTACCCTGTTACCATGCATCTTCCATGTCCCTTGTCATCAGTGAGGTTGGGCAATTTTGCACAAGTTTTTTGGCCAATCCCATTTCTTCTTTTGTGAATCTTCTTTCCTTGTTTTCTCTCCAGGGTTGTGAAGCATTGTTGCCCTCTTTATAGGAGAAAGGTCCTTGTGTCAAGTTCAAAGGCACTCTCATATTTTTACACTCACCTGTCTCTGAGAAGTAGATCACATTGGAGTTTGTCTCATAGTTGCACCTTGGCTTGTCTATATGGTCTTACTCCCTCCCCCAACTTTCCTACCTCCTGGCTTGTAAATGAAGAAATATGAATGTTCCATCACAAACCACGTTTCCCAGTTGACCTTGTGCGTAGACTCCTTCCCTTTATCCCCACTGAATGCCAAGACTGCCTGCTATAGAGGTGAACTGCTGCTCTTAATACCCACCTGGCAAATTTCTTACCACTGAACCTCAGCATTAGTCTACCTGCCATGGCTTGCACCTCATGCTGTCCTCTTTCTTGGTTTCCACCATGAATTGCTTGGGATCCTTCTTTAGGGTATTCCCATGGGAGCATATGTGGGTCCCGTGTCACCAACTGCTGATTCAGTTCCACTGTTTTCAGTCTCATCTTTTTCTACCTTCCTTTTGTTCCTTCCTGTTGACTTTCCAGTTCTGCCTCAGAGCACCCATTCTGCCAGGGCTGGGCTGTGATGCCTCTACTGTCTCTCTGTCATCTTATTTTGCTCCCCCCATCAACACAGTTGACACTCCTTCCTTCTCAAAACACTTTCCTTTCTCTGTTTCTGTGACATCCCATCTCCTGGCTGGCCTACCCTCTCTTTGCCTACTTATCCTTGGGGAATTCCCAAGAACAGCATGGGAGCTGTTCTGTGTGCCCCACAGCCTGAGCATCCTTCTGTCTGGTTTGGCTTTGATTATTTGTGCCCCCCTCCCCCCCGCAGTTCAGTGTGGTGATGGTGGACTCCCAGCCTCAGCCAAGGTCCTCTCATTGGAGGGTTTGTTTGCCTGCCAATGATTCCAAATGTTCCTCTTCTCTGAGCTCCACATGTGCTCATCAAACTGTCCACTTGGATGCTCCATGGGGATTTTAGAAGGAATATGTCCAAGCCAGAGCACTTCATTCCCCTCAGCACATTTACCTCTTCCCCAGGATCCCCCAAGGGCTCTGTCTACCACCTGGTTGCTCAAGCAAAGATGCCAGGATTCTTTATTCCCTCTCCTTTGTTCCTGAGCCCAGTCTAATCCATCATCAGATTTTATTTACATTAGTCAGTGATTGCTGCCCCTCTCTATGTCTCAATTGTTCATTAACCTGCCTCCTTTTCTCTCTGCATCTACTCTGTCCTCTCTCTACTCCACTCCCACCCATATGGCAGCCAAGGTAAACTGCAATACCACCCCTCTGCTCCCTGTGACATGTCCTCCCTGTGTTTTCTCATCTCCTTAGAGTAAATTCCAAAGTCTTCCTCCTCGCCCCCCCCCCTTTTTTTTTTTTAACAAGTTCGTCATTTAATAAGTCTGAATTCACTTTTATTACATGGTGTTGTACACGGTAATCTGTTGAAACAGATTTCTTTTGAACAGATCTTGGGTTTAAAAAAGTCATAGATAATGTAAGTTCTGTATAAACTGGTGGATAGGTAAGTTAGTTCTTTTGTTTTGACTTATAAGCCTCAACTTCACAGCAGAATAAAGACTGTAGGCCAAAGAAAGCATAATCGCTCAGTCGTATAGAACAGTATTGTTTCTATAATTTGGAGCTTTCTGAAGGGACGGGTTCAGGCCTGATGCAACTGTAAAAAGATTACTTAATGAATAGACTATATGGAAATTGTACAAAATGTTATTAATTTTAATCATTAATAGCTTAAACAGCACTATGTTACTAATTGCTATTCAAACTCAAAAACTTGATTTTGAATCCTCAAGAAGGTGGCATGGATACACAAACCATACCTCCTTATCCTTGGGGGGGTGTCAATACATATTTCAACAGAAACTTTGGCTTTAGGAAAGAGTCGCAAACATTGAAAATAATCGCTTTATCATTTTAAGTATAAGGTAGAGAAAAGTGTGCTTTAATTAAATATACATTATACCAGTGATGCTGGCAAGGTTGAAAGTTACTCCTAATGTTGATAGCTATAAAAACCAGTTTGTACATGACAAGATAATGAGAGAAGTAAGCAATCCCTTTGAAACAAATTCCTTAAAAAAATAATAATAATGTTCACAGTGATTTGTATCAACAGTATGCATTTTATGACAATAACATATACAGACTGAGCACCCTAGGGCTCTCTTTATATCCCAAAGAAAACAAGCATTTACATTATCCATGGTTTTTACTGAACTGAAAAAAGAAAGTCAATTGTACACTTACCCTTTAGACAGAATAAACTGTCTGGAGGTGCACAGATTTAACACCATCATTAAACTGTTTGCAAAAAAAAGAACTAAAAAACAAAACATTTTTTCTTGGGAGTGAAGTCTTTCATTTGCTGTTATAACCAGCAAATGCTATTTATCAACTGAAAAAATGGAAGGGAGGGCCCCACAAACACACTATTTGAGCAAGCTGACCAATACACATTACAATTTTAAAAATGAAGGCTATATACTATATGTTACAAATCCCAACTAGGCAGTGTCAAAATGATATCTATTTCTTTGCTTGCTTTGTGATCATACCCCATGGAGGTGTTACTGGTCTCGTAGCACTTGGCTTCTTTTTCTCTGCAGGCTTCAAAATCTGAAAAGAGCACATTAGTGTTTCATCCACATTCATCATGG